GGGCTGCTGTGTACGAGGCCTGCTGTAAAAGGGCTTAGGGGAGTTAAGATGCAGTAGTAGGATCCTACTTAGAGTCCTGAGTTTCAGATGCTGGAAATTTGTGGAAGAGAGTGTCCTTCATGTGCCTTTAACTTCTGGAGGGGTAAATTCGGGATGTGTGGCCTTGGGCTGTCGAGCATCCCAGGATTGAAGAAGGTCGAGCAGGAGGAATCTAGTTTGGATTCGGGATCTGTGGATTACGGTTGGTTGTGTTATACCCTAAGCCCAGAACCTAGACCCGAGAACCGCGAAGGTGTCCGATTTGACCGTCGTTCTGCTTCTTCCTCTCTGGAGCTTGATGCTCTTGTCGGTTCCTTCCATGTTCCTGAACCCTGAAAACTTTGGGCTGGTAGGGTGTATTCCTGCCATGCAGCAGGCACAAATGCACCCCATGCGCCTTCCTACTTGCTGCTTCTGCATGTCGGGTCAGCCTTACAGTGTACCATGTCTTTACCCACAGGGCTTGGGTAAGAAGCCTCGGGTTGAGCTGCCTAACCCAAAACCCTCAACCAGGGGTCAACGAATCCTGTGGAAACAAATCACCCTGAAACTGCTGCTGTGGCAAATCATGCTCAACTGATGTATGTATGTATGTATGTATGTATGTATGTATGCATGTATGTGGCTTGGCCTTGGCTTTGGCCTTGTTCACTGCGGGCGACTATGGCTGATATGGGGTGTATCGTTTAAAGGTCTAGATTCCGCTGTTAACATTAAAATCTTTTTGCCTGATAGGATGCTTAAGGGTAGCCGGTGAGCCTGCCGAAACAATCAAGTTTCCAGGAAAAGACCTATGAAGCCAAGCCCTAAGCCCAAAAATCTACACTCGCGGCCCCAAGCCCAGAACCCCGAGTTTGGAAACCCTAAAACCTATAACGCAAAAAATATTCGTAGAATTACATCTAGACCTCAAACCCAAGAATTAGCTATTCAACCTTGAGCCCTAAACCCAAAGCCTTAATACACTCTTATTAGATCTCTGCAATGCGAGAGGGGAACAATCCACCCTTAAATACACTCTTAAATAGGGTTTAGGGTTCCCTTAGATAGGAAGAAACTACAACCCCGGACAAGGCAAGCATGCGCTGCAAACAGCATTCCAACAGGCGCCGACTTCTTGCTTTATGGGATTTGGGGGCTTGGGTTTTTTTAAGGTTTAGGGTTGTTGGTTAAGGGTTTTAGGGTTGTTGGTTGAGGGTTTAGGGTTTAAGGTTTAGGGATTTAGGGCATCAGTGGTTGCAGACAGTGCAACATGCTTCACGTGCTCTGCCATAAGCGCTGGAGTCAGGAGCTTGGCTGAAGGGATTGAGGGCTTAATGCATTGCAGTCCCTGCTCAAAAAACGGGGCTTTTAAGGTTTAGGGATTTAGGGCTTTAGGGTTTTTAAGGTTTAGGGATTTAGGGCTTTTGAGGTTTAGGGCTTTAGGGCTTTAGGGTTTTTGAGGTTTAGGGTTTAGGCTTTAGGGTTTAGTTGTTGGTTGAGGGTTTTAACAGGGGGATGTGGGGGCTTTGGGGTTTAGGCTTTTTAAGGTTTAGGGTTGTTGGTTGAGGGTTTTAGTATAGGGTCAGGGGTTTACGGGTATGGGCATGTGGGGTTTGGGGGTTTAAGGTTTTAGCAGAGCTTTCGGGGATTTCTATGTGGGGCTTAGACGCTTTTTCGCTTACGAGTTGTTGGGGGTTTGGTTACGAACTCCTCATCTTTCCAGGTCCAGGTGCCTACAGTTGAGGGGTTTCGGTAGTTTAGGGGGTTCAGGGTTTAACACCTTCGCCCGTTTTCGGTTGAGAAGCATCCGAAGCAGAAGTCGATGTTTACGCATGTTGTCTACTCCTCTAGCCTTGAACACGAGCCGCCCTTTAATTTGCTTTGCTTTGGGCAGCGCATGTTCTCAAGGTATCGCCCTTAATGCCGTTCTAGTTGCAATATGGGCTTCTGTGGCTGGGAATCGGGGCATTCCTGGCCGGAATGGTGTACGAGCACCCACTGCAGTACATGGTGATAAATATCGTAATACTGGCACCATCTGGTCACAGCCTTTACCAAGCTTCTGATATACGTAACGTACGGTGCAACAGGAACCTTGATTCAGGCGAGCTGGATATTCGATCAAAAACGGAACCGCCAGGAACCCTGAAGAAAGAGGCGCCTGAAAGCCACTAAGCCTCAACTACCCGAAAGCGTGACTATCCTAAACCCTGAAGGTGCTGAACAAACTCTGGCATCTATGTTGCTCAAGAGAGAAAGGAAGAGGGAGAGAGACATAGACTGCCCATAGGCCCCATAGTAGTTCCTTTTTGGGGTTCAGAATGGTTCATATTTACAATCCTTTTAGGTAATCCCCAAAAAGGAACTACTATGGGGCCTATGACTGTGATGCAGGGAAAGCGCAAGTCCCTGAACGAAGCCTCACCAGTGAAGAGGCGGTTTGGAGTGCCCGCGATGGCTGTAGCAAGTGGGACTTTCCGAAAATAGGGGGTACCTTACTTTGGGGTCCTTATAATAAGGATCCTAGTATTTAAAGTACTATATTAGGGTCCCCTATTTTCGGAAGCCCCCAAGTGATCTTGGGATTGTGGTTTGGGACTTCTTGGCTCAACATCTAAGCCAGGATGAGGTTCCAAATCTTGAGCCCTAGATTTGCTTCCGAGTTCCGTGTTCTCTCTTGGCCCACGACGGCTTCTAGACCAATCGAAGAGACCCCTAAACCCGAGGCGCAGACTGCATGCACTTTCATAACTGGCCTTCAGCGATGAGTCTCAACTCCTAACCCCTGAACCATGCTAAGATTCAGCAGACAAAATCCTAAAGCTCTGATGCTTCCGGAGCCTTCCGGGAAAGCCTTGAACCTTGAACCACCCTCCGCCGTAAACCTTACACACCCAAGGCATCCCCGAACCCTGAGCTTGCACCCACAGGCCTAAAAGGAGAAGGATAGTATGTACATACTGTCACAAACACACCACAATCTACAGTACATACACATACATATATAACAAAAATATTAATAATAAGATTCTATGGGGTCATATACCGCTGGATATATGTATGTATGTATATATATATATATATGTACACACATATAAGCTGATTGTAGAATACTACATAGCATACCATCTGCGCCCAAACAGAGCTGGGCCTTCCGAAGTCTGCGACGACTCGTGCGTAGTCGAAAGCATTCTTTGGGCGGCTTTCAGCCAGGGCCCATTGAACTTCAGGAATTTGGGATTGTAATCAGGCATTTTAATAACTTTATGCCCTGCCGGTTTAGGGTTTGCACTGGGTTTAGAGTTAGGGGCGGTTGTAGGCTTTTGAGTTTTACAATGCGCCTCCGTGGTTTTTTCGCGAATTTGGAGGCTGGGCTGCTCACACTTTCTGTTCTTCGCTGCAGAATTAGTTGCACGGCACGCAGGGTTTCGGTTTGTTGCTAGTCTGATGTTGGGACTTAGGGTTTTCGCAGCTTGCCGTTCAGGTCCAGGTTACCGGTGCTCAGGCGAAGTGCACAGTTGCCACTGCTTTGCTGCCGAGTTCAAGCCATGAGTCGTGAAAGTTGAGCGCGTTGTTGCCGAAGAGTTCTGTCTTACGAGCACCGGACTTTGTGATGAAATGACCGTTTGTTGGTCGTCAGCCTCATCAAAGTGTTCGTGGTCGTCGTTGGCGCTGTCCTCACTGCAATCGCTCTTTGGGGCTGTGCATCACCAACCATCATCACAAAGTATACCCCGCGCTGTGTGTATATCTGGACCCTACAAAGTCCGATACCATTAAACCGTACGTCAACCCAAATCCCAAACCCCGAAAAGCGTACCTCTACACACTCAACTCTGACATAGCCTAGTAAGTAAGCATGCTCTAAAGGCTATGGGAACACTGGCAAGTGCCATCGCTAAAAAACGGGCCTTACTAGTAAGAACAGGGTTGGGGGGCCCATGATACTTTACTTATAATAAGGAAACCCCAAAATAGTATTGGTAACTTTTTCGGCCACTATATTACTTACTTTGTCCCCGCTTCGGCCGCTCCAGGCGGCGGGTCTCGGCAGTGATGGCATTGAAAACCATGCTAGGCTCGACTCTCAGTTCCTTCAACGGTAGGGTTTAGGGTTTTTTGGGTTCTGATCAACAGAGTCTGGGTTCAAAAAAAAGGGTTTAGGGTTCTCAGTCTTAGGATGTGTGTAAGTAGGCTTTCGGTTGGGTTTATGATAGAAGCTTTGAGGCTTTCTTGAGCATGTGATACCAGCAAACTACCTCCTGAACCGATGGTTTCTCCCGGCTTTCTCTACCTCTCTTCATGCATGAACCCGTGGAATTTTGAAAGTCTAAGCCCTAGGCCCTAGATCCTAAACCTACGCAGAGACCTCGCCTGGCCCTGGGTGTGAGTGAGGTATCCTAAACCCTGAAACCGGATTACCGGCTTCCCGCGACACAGATTGCATGGATCCTGTCACTCCATAGCAGGAGTTCCCAGAGCAGCACATGCTAATTGTACGCAACAGCCTATATAACATATACATTTCTTAAAAACTTAGTACAGTAATCTTAAGCTTGCGAGTTCAGGGCCTTTGGCAGATGTATTGGTGTTTATGTCACTACATTGCAGTAATCAAGCGGACAAACTAAGATCCATCACGCAACGGCAACATGACAAGAACCACTAGCGATACTACCGACCAATTCAGCGGTAGTCTCAGTAACCGAGCTGCTGGTAATGTTGGTGATGGTAAGCATTGTAGAGAGAGGAGAAGCAGACATAAGCGAGGACTTGGATGCATGTGAAAAGCAGAACAGTGATAGCTGTTCTGATAGCAAGAGCCAGTTTTCGGGTAAAGACGCCTAGGTGCAGACATCGTTCTGTCGGATGAGATGCCGATTGACCAGCTGCCTGCCAGGAAATGGGCTTGCGGAAGGGAGCTGTCGGTTTTCGGCGCTTTCGGAGCTTTGGTTTTGGGAGTGAGGGTTCAGGATGTCGGGTTCTGTTTGGGGATGCAGCGAGCAGTATCGCTTCTGCGGCTTTGCGGGTGCTTGTCCCTAGTGCGGTCCCAGTTGTAGCGGATTTGGGGTCGGGGATGCGGGATGCCTCGAGACTTCTGAGGGCCAATTCGGAGTTGGGGGCCGCTGCTACACGGCTTCACTTCGCATCTCATGGCTGCGCAGAGTCGCTTCTAGAAGTCGGTAATCCATGGGTTTTCGAGGGTTTAGGGTTTGGGGGCAGCTGAGTTGCCGGAACCGGCTTGTTGCAAGCGTCTGTGGACTTCAGCTAGCAGCACTAGTCAGTGTACCTGGGAAGTTGCGCACGGCCCCTTGCGAACTCCGCCATGACTTGGGTACTGCCCCCACTCAGTAACAGTTGGCTAATATTTATATTATGGATATATTAGGCCCTTAATAGTAGCCCTATTATAGACTGTTACTGTATGGGGGCAGTACCCAAGCCATGACGACAGAACATCACCTGCTTCATGGAAGCCTGGGCAGTTTTCAAGCTGCTGGGTCCTAGATATGGGAGTTTCAGAAAATCAGGGGTGCCTCATCTTGGGTTCTTACAATAAGGGTCCTACTATTAGGGTACTATATTAGAGTCCCCTATTTTCGGAAACCCCCATATGAGTGATTTACAGATCTGATACCTCGATATTCTCGCTGAGGCTGGAGTGTCTTCGCCAGCAGATGGAACAGGACCTCGGTGATGTCCACACGATCGACTGAACTCGGGTTTCAGATATCAGGCAGGCTCCTTCGCCTCGCACCAGCCTGGCTGCACAGGTTCAGGGATGGATGTGGAAAGGACATGTTGATAACCTAAACCCTAAACCCTAAACCCTAAAACCCTAAACCCTAAACCCCTAAACCCTAAACTGTTGAGACATGGGCCGGACGGGGCTGGAGGCCTTAGGAAGTTCGGCGAAGCTGCCTGAAATTCGACGAAAGCGGAGAAAAGCCCAACACCAGGAGTGTTGAGCTGGTGGGAAAGCCCCAAAGGGTCCAAGTAGTACTATGGTAGCTACTTTGTAGCTATTTTGTCTCCAAAAGTATATACTATACTATAACTTGGACCCTTTGGGGCCTTGCGGTGGGCATTGCTGCTCTCGGTTTCGACGGCAGTGCTGTTGATGTTGTCACGTAAAGTCGAGAACCTACACTGGACATGTCGTTGAGATGGCTTACTGTAGACAAAGGGCCCAACTTCCAGGATTTGCCGTTGAACTGCTGCAAGGTGCCTTCCCGAGGCCGATTGGCATGTACTTTCTTTCGTCGCGGGGCCACTCCTTCGAGTGGAGAACCCTCATGGTTCCCAGGACTGGCTTAGGGCTTATAATGACCTCTACTATTTTTTTGGGGGGGCTCCTCATTATAATTATAGTATAATGGGCCCCAAAACCCTATTCTAATTATTAAGGCCGCTCTCTCTCTCTCTCTATATATATATATATATATATATCGGGCCCTAGGCTCACAGCCTTAGAAGGTTTATTCTCAGCTTTCCCTTTCATCCACCCTCGCCCATCTTCAATCAATGACAAATGCACTTCCTAACGGACGACATTGGCGGCCCCTAGCCGCACAAGAGACACCACCTATAAGCCCTAAACCGTGAATGTGAACCTGGGGAACGCTGCGCCTTTGAGCGGGTGCTGAAGGGGATCTTCGCATGTAAACGCCGCAGCGGACGGGTGCCAAAGCAAGCTGCTCCTTGTTGTAGCAACTAATCTTTCCATAGCACGTCCGTTGGCGGGTTCTGGGCTTCGGCTCAAGCCGCCAGTAGTATCTTTTCGTGCAGGATATCGTAGCTGGAGTAGTCATAGAAACCAAAGTTGCAACCCTGCCTTTGCACACCAGCATTGCTCTGCAACTTGCATATGAGGTTTTACATCTGGCAAAGCTGTGTCCAAAATGTGCTCGAGATTGATTTCGCCTGTACACGTCTGGTTCACTTACAGCATGCAGTGCTATAGTTGGCAGTGTCTACAAAACCCGTTTTTCCATCGGCATGACTTGCAGTTTCATTTGAATGCTACAGGTTTCATTGCAAACTGCTGCGGCGAGACATGCATTCGAGAGAACTGGGGATTTGGTCTCGATCGGCAAAAAGTGGTGCCAGCACTGCGCGTTCCCGCTAGGTCTTCACGCAGAGACCTACGGTTCCGGACTTCGGATTGGTCATCCTTCCACAAGGCTTTGTCTGGTATTCTTGCAGCTCCAGTTGTGAACACCTGATGTAGGGGTCTAAATAATATTTACCTATACCATGTTGGGGCCTCCTTATTAGAATTATGGTATAAGTAACCTTAATATAATTATGGTATAATTAACCTTATTATAATTATGGTATAATTAATGGGCCCCAAAACGCTATTCTAATCATTATAAGGCCCGTAAACCCTAAACCCTAAACCCTGGAGTGCTCTGATTCTGTTTTCTGGCGACTCTCGGAGTCATCTGCGGCTCCCTTGCGCAAGCTTTGCGTGGCAGTAGCCACCTCTCACATGTCCAAATTGGTGACTTAAGGTTTTTAGGGTTTAGGGTTTAGGGTTATATCCAACCTTAACCTTGTAGGTACCTACTATATAGGGCCATAGGGCCACAGGGGCTCTAGTACCTATATAGTAGGTACCTGGGAGGTTAGGGCAAATTCGTGACTCGATCCCCCGCGGAGCTTTAAGCACCAGAGGTCGAAGTTTAAGATACGTTTCCACCCGACATGGCTCAAGTATGCTGGACGCGGAATCACGTGTAGAGGCAGAATGTCAACAGGCCAGTCACTGAAGTCGCTGACCATCCATATTTGCAACGTGTACCTCTTTGTGAAGGTCGAGTGTGTTCCATGTGCCTGCGGCCCCTGAAAAGTCATTGCCAACGACACCACAGGGAACAAGAACGGTAATAGCAAATGCGTCATAGAGGTGGCAATGATGCTATTGATCGCCACCGGCAGTATCACAGTAGCAAGTAAGTAAAAACGAGGACGGCAGATCCCAATATCATCTAAGAAATTCTCGACTTGCGCCCTCTACAGCCGTGGATGCTGTCTTTGGTATGCCACCCGCAGACACGTCCGTTGCAGCGGACGCCCGCGCGCTGCTTCGATGAGGTCGGCGGGTTTGCGGTATGGGGATGGGCCTCTTTATAGCCTTGACAAATCCAAATAGGACAGGTTGCCAAGACACCAGACGACGAGTTATCAATAATATGCTCTGCATAGTCCCAGACCTTGTATCAAGCTTCTTGTTCCGCAATGGCCTGCCACCTTTGTGCTGATCATGTCCTTTGGAACTACATCACTTTGAATACACTGCTACTGATCCTTGGGGGTCATCCTTAGCCACCTTCTCCAATCTTAGGCGCAGTTTTCTCTCGAGTAGTACCTTTTGAGAGAACCCCGATGTTCTGGCTCCGGTAAGAAACCCTATAAACCCTGAACCGCAGCTAAACACAAGGAGCCCTGGGGCCGAAAAGTCCCCGAGCTCCGGCAATTAAGGTACCCATCGGCAGCGGCAGTCACACCCCCCCCTAACGGCCCCCAAACAAAACGCAAGGTGCGAAACCCAGGGCGAAGCATGGGGCCTTTACCTAGCTTTCGGCAGGGTTGTGCTGCTTGCAGCCCTTGCAGCATGTTCGGCCTTCTCTCTGTGGATCGAGTCAGTGCCTCCTTGGGGTCCTTTCCTCTAGAGGCATCCATGGACCTGGCCTGCCTTTCTGCTCTCTCATCGTTTGTACATCACCACTAGGCAGATGTAAATCATCTCTACCAGACCCGGCAGTCGCCGACGGCTTGGCAGACGGTCTGAACCGCTTGTAGAGTGCATGTCTGTTCCTAAACGGCCTTGATTTTGAGGCTGAAGGCTGCATGCTGTTTCAAGCGATGGGGTGCCTGCCGGACACCCCAACCCCAAAGCCCTGCCAAAAGACAGAGAAGTTTTCAAAAGATCTCCTATACTTCCTCCAAAACCCTAGATGCCTTTACCACTTACAATATTTTATACCTAGCCCGAAAAGCAAGGCCCTAAACCCTACATAGCCTAAATCCTGTTAGACCCAGACCCGAGCCCTCAAATCCACGGTGAGCGCTCTACACCCGTCTTAGTGCGGCTCTGAGGCGGCAATAGAATGGTATAAATGGTGGTCTTGGTGGTGAGCGCGTAGCCTGTCGAAACGCCATCTCAGGGAAAGCGCAAACCCGTGAAACCGGGCCCTGCAAACCCTGTCAGCCGCTTCAGCCCTATAATGAAGCCCCATCTGCCCCATACATTCCGGCCAGAAGCCCTATCCTAGGGCTCCAAATAGCCCAAAAACCTAATATGGTATGGTCTTTGGGCCCAAAAGCCTTTTACTATGCGTCCTTAGAGCCTTAGGGCTTTCATAGGACCACCACTGTGCTCTCAGGCGCCATCGTCCTCAAGGCCAACTCGAGCCGCGTTGTTATTCCGTTTCGGGCCTTGGGTTGCGGTTGAGTCATCGCTTACGGTTTAGGGTTTAGGGTTTAGGGGTTTAGGGTTTAGGGTTTAGGGTTTAGGGTTTGGGGTTGGCTTTGTGGAGCACATGGGTACTCAGTGGCTTGCAACATTTGCAACAGACTGTGGCCAACTTGTGGCAGAAGGGCAGCAGACAAGGAGAATCGGGCTGGCTAAGTCCTCAAATTCTCGGACGCCGAGATGTGCAAAGCTCCCTAAACCCTAAACCCCAAACCCTAAACTTGGTTTGCCCCTGATGCAGCATGATACTCAGCCTCCCAACCACAAAAGGGCGCCTGCACTGGTTGCATCAGCGGTCTTCCCTGTGGCACTGGGCCCGCTTCATCGGTTCGGCGAAGAGGGCTCAATCGGTGAGTACATGTTACACATACAGAAGAGCAGATGGACAGTTGGTACAGGCCACTGAGAGATTAAGGATGCAAGCTTCGAATCGAACATCCTAGGATATCCTAGGTGACCCAGGTGCATTTCAGTTTACCATCCAGTTGCGTGATGGTGAGCAAAGGGCTGGTCTGTCGCAAAACCCTCATGAGGCACGACAGTCGCTTGCCGATGACCTGAGCTTTAAATGGAGTGAGCAATGGCGGGAACCCAACCCCTAAACCCTAACGATGTGGAGAGGCATCGAGTCCAACTTGATTCTATGCATTTCATCTTTGTTTCAGCAGGCGCATGCCGCGGACATTGGCTGTTAGAGAATCTTTTTGCTTCTGGGTCGGGTCTCGTGTACCTGTTGAGTTATTGTTTCCGGTGATCGTTTTAAAGCACTGCTCGTTCCAAGTTGTGAGCCTTCAGAGAATTCGCTGGCACTGCGAAAAAATGATACTTGCTTGGAGCGTGGAGATATGTTGTCCTGGCCATGTGTTTGGAGCAAAAGAGATTGCACAGCGTCGGTTCCCCTCAACCACAAGTTTTTTGAACCCAGCTAAACCTTGAGCCCTAAAACATCGAAAGAGAACTCTGAAAAAGGATGCCGACTCTTTTCAGTCACAGGCCCCAGCCCGCGACAAATCAAGTTAAGAGAGTGGCAGTTTAAGTTTAAGTGCTTTTGTTCAAGGGTTTTGCAGCTCCTCCTCAAGAGAGGACTGCAGGAAGAGTATTAGCTTTTGTCTCACGCAGAACAGTCGCCACAGCTCCCCAATTCCCCAAAGCTGAAAGGTGTTGCAAGTCTGCGTTGTTGAAAAGCACATTTGTGCTGGCCATGGCCTGCAAAAAACGAGAGAAAGCATGTGGCTG